TCGAACCATGTACCTCCTGTTATTGTTACGCCAACCTCGTCAATCATTTAACATGTGGGCTTTCAAATACTGCGATTATTCAAATTTGTTTTCATTATATGGGTGTGAGACATGAATTTAAATTGATATAAACCTAGTCGAATGCAGTGCATCACTCCATTGTGCCTAGCTACAGGAGTACTTCAAGATATTTTTTTCCTTGGCACTACAGCCCAAGTGGGCCTAGCCCTACCTCCATGAATTCCGTTCACTTCGGTTTTTCTAGATCTTACACATTCGATAGGACTCCTTGGGCGAGTGATCAGCTCGTCGCAAGGCCTCTACCTGCAGAAAAAACACAGAAAAACGCACACAAACATCCATGCCCTGAGTGGGATTCGAACCCACGATCCCGGTTTCCGAGCGAGCGAAGACAGTGCATGCCTTAGACCGCTCGGCTACCGTGACCGGCTCAAGATATTTTAGATATGTTTTTAAGTAGTCTGTCTATGCCCGTATATTCATATTAAACTAGCCGTGAATTGACCTTGTATGTACGAGTGTTTTGAGGTGTATCACAATAAGAAGAGTTTCTAAATAATATTAAATTCAATATTTCCGCAGTGCGGCTGGAAGGATTAGGTCAATTGAAAAATCCAATAACCTCATCGGAACTTGAAACCGCGACCTTCCGGCTCATAGCATAGTGCCTCAACAACCTATGCTACCGCGTGCCCCCTGCAATCACATTGCGTAAACAAACAAAATTTCATTAATAACCGATAGAAACACTGAGTTTGTAGCCAATTAAAATGTTCATGACTGTCTAGCTCGCAATGAAAGGACTGCAATCCTGCATCATATCATATCCTGGACAGGATTTCAACGCTACCACTCTGTACGGATTAACCCTGTTATTATTGATTTCACGTATGTATGAGACATTTCAGCCGGTCACGGTAGCCGAGAGGTCTAAGGCGTGTATTGTCTTCGCTCGCTCGGAAGCCGGGATCGTGGGTTCGAATCCCACTCAGGGCATGGATGTTTGTGTGTGTTTTTCTGTGTTTGTCTACAGGTAGAGGCCTTGCGACGAGCAGATCACTCGCCCAAGGAGTCCTACCGTATGTGTAAGATCTAGTAAACCGAAGTGAAACGGAGTTTCATGGAGGTAGGCCTAGGCCCAAATTGGGGCTGTAGGGCCACAGGGGAAAAGAAGAAAAAGAAAAAAAAGAGACATTTCAACAGTTATGCTATATATTGGTGATGAAGCAATAAAAACCACAAAGCAATACATGCAGCAGATGGCAACGTTAGATAAAATATTACGTGTACTTACATGTCTCAGCCCTATAGGGCCATCATCAGAGTCTTAGGAGTTAAAGAGGAGACCGCTTAGTAAACATTAGTTTTTAGCAGTAACATTTTACATTTAGATTCCTGTATATTTGAAAGGAGGAAATTAGGAGGCGACTGAACTCTGGCAATGCTTGCTACTATTCGGTCCAGAACCTTCTGTCTTCTCGTCTGTTGTCCAAAAACATAAAAATTAGAATATACAAAATATAATTTTGCCTGTGGTTCTGTATGGGTGTGAAACTTGGTCTCTGACATTAAGGGAGGAACATAGACTGAAGGTGTTTGAGAACAGGGTGTTGAGGAGAATATTTGGACCGAAGAGAGATGACATGACATGAGGTTGGAGAAAACTGCATAATGAGGAGCTTCATAATATGTTTTTCACCAAGTATAATTAGAATGATCAATTCAAGGAGGATTAGGTGGGCAGGGCATGTAGCACGAATTGGGGAGACGAGGAATGCGTATAGGATATTGGTGGGAAAGCCAGAAGGAAAGAGACCACTGGGAAGACCAAGGCGTAGGTGAGTGGACAATATTAAAATGGATCTTAGGCAGATAGGATGGTATGGTATTGATTGGATTGATCTGGCTCAGGATAGGGACCAGTGGAGGGCTCTTGTGAACACGGTAATTAACCTTCGGGTTCCATAAAATGCTGGGAAATTCTTGAGTGGCTGCAGAATTGGCGGCTCCTCCAGAAGGGCTCAGCTCCATGAATAAGTAAGTATATTTGAAAGTGAAGAATTTTTTTCTTATAAATTGACCACGGTCTGCGTAATTTTATAGACTTAATTTTACATTCTTACTTCTATTGATACTGCTGCTTCTACTTTGGTCCTACTGTCCTTAAGGACCTTGGTCTTCTGTACGAGAGATGCTAATTTCATTTCCAATATTTGATTTTTTCCTCAAAATTTCCGACCTTAGCTATCGTAAATCATTCTTTATATCTTCTCAAAATGGGCATTTTCTTCCACCTTCTGCCAATCTGGTACTATGGTGTATCCCAATCTAAGAACAGATAATACTGTCGTGGACCTATAAAATTTTACATCGAGATAAAGTGTCGTGTACTTGTGCTACTGTTACAGTGAATTGCGTGTGGAGACCAGTGGCTGGCACGAGCCGTGGGGGACTCTGTACATAATCTGAGACGTGTAGCAACGGGGGCATTGCCTGGTTAGGGTGCGAGTTATTACCAGAATAATGATCCGTTTCCTGAATGCGGCTCCTTCAATAACAACAGCAGCCGTGTTCTTCCACGAAACCCTTGCTATAGAGAAGCCAAACTGCCCACTCGGCTTGTGTTCCATAAGTTGGTCCATCCATCGGATTAACTTGGTTCAAAGTTTTTGTGAAATATGGCTATCATTACTTCCGCTACGGACAGTAAGGTTGTTGAGGGGAGTTATGACGGCCATACATGACCCTCCCCTACGTGTGCATATATTCATCTGTCTATAACAGGGGGAGTGACACACGATTTGTACGAGACAGTAGATAGGAAACACCCAATGAGCTGGACTACACAAAAACTGATAAATTAGCCTAACTTTGTTGGAAAATGCGCGCTTAAATTTGGACATGAAAGCATGAGGCTTGTCAGATTATCACAGAGGAAGTACTTTTACAGCTACAGTACATACCGCAGTGCGTTATGGGCGGATGTTCATCCAGCAGACAGGAAGCAGAAAGACTCATATATGTTTTCTTCAGAAATATCATACAATAAAGAAATATAGGTTAGAGATATGGAAGTTGAATTTTAATAACAAGATTCTTGATCTAAAGTCTTGAATGGATACAGTCTGTTCCGGCTTCAATCTGACATTTACGCGACTTATAGCGCAGTCGGTATAGCAACTGCTTACGGACTGGACGACAGAGGGGCCGGAGTTCGAGTCCCGGTAGGATAAAAAATTGTCTCTTCTCCATGTAGTCCAGACCGGTTCTGGGGCCCGGCCAGCCTCCTATCCAATGGATACTGAGGACTCTTTCCCCAGGGGTAAAGCGGCCGGGGGGTGATGCTCAACACTCGCCACCAACTAGTGCCGAGGTCAAGAAAACATGGAACTATACACCCACTTCCCCATACGTCTTCATGGCGTAGTGCTTACTTAGTCAAGCACGGAGACAAATTTACCTTTTTTTTTTTTTGGCAGTGTTTCTTCCTTGTAGATTGCAGCTCAAAATTAATTTCTACATTTTTCTTTTTGTATTCCCTCGCGTTTGTGACCGAGTAGGTGACGTAACAGTAGCGCTCTGGATCTACATTATGGAAGCGCTCGGTTCGAATCTTGGTTCGTAACACTGGCTATCCTCACTGAGGTGTATCTTGGTTTTCCTCAGCTCCTCCAGGTAAATATCAGGATTATGCTTCTATTAAACCGCGACCGCTTCCTTACAAATCCTTTCCCATTTATCAATCATCCTACTCTTTTGAGCTACACAGGGCTAGAATATTCAGAAGCAACTTCATGCACTTCTGTTTGTTAGAATATTTGCCAACATGAAGATCGGAATTTTATTTTTATCTGCTCTAAAATCAACTTGTATGAACCTGCAACACTTCTATGCCAGCGGACTTTATCTCATTGCCTTTTATTTTCTTTTAATGCAAACTTCAATTCCATAAAACAGAGGAAAGTAAGAGTGAAAAAGGTAAAAAAGATGAGAAAGTTAAAAAAGGCAAAAATTTCCCTATGCTTAATCAGTTTAACACTATGCCATGAAGACGTAACTCCACCAAGCAAGAAATATAACATGATTTCGATATTATAAAATACTGTTAAATCTTCCTGTGTTTTATTTATTTATTTTTCTTTCATAACCTCTCAAAGCATTGTAATACTTCCGCTGCTAACCGGTAATTATGTAGTTTCTTTTATAACTTTCTCATATTAAATTGACAAATGTTTTGATAAGTTACCGCTTTAAAACTTATAATTACAATATAAAATATAATGGAACGTTGTTTAAAAATACAAAGAAAATTCGAACGACAGCACATCTGGAACACGGTGACCACACGACACGCATAATGAGGAAACGTGAAGGGATTCTAGATTGGACACCTGGCGGTTTAATATTACAAAACATCTGATGAAACAAATAGTTCATTTCCTCGCAACAGCACATGGAAATTATTATCTCTTGTGGTTTGATACTGAATAAGAGGCATCGGTTCTTTTATGCAACGTCAGAAGAACTTGGAATGAACAAGAAGTGAGATATTCAAATCAAGCCAGACAGAGTAACATTCCTTGAAGTTTGAAGAGTTCTATGTCCTGGGATATGCTGCTGTGTAGTCCGTTGAAAGTCAACCCAAGTTCAGGAAGAACACGTCACCTCCATCTTCAGGGCCTGGCCTCTGATTGTCACCTGCTTTGATGCTCGTTTCTTGCTTGGTTTATTTTTCAGCCCTACAGATGAAGATGATATGTTTCTCCGAAACGTCAGCTAACTTTCAACGGAGTACACAGTGTTATATCACAGAAAACAGAAGACTCTTATGTTAGAAAAGTTTCGGATATGAGGGTGACACATTTTTTAGTCTAATATCATTATAAATCACCTTTAAGCTGTAAAGTGTTAATTTTTTTGACGTCATCGGTATTATCTAAATACAAGGTGAATATGATCTATCACATTCTACCTCTGTCTCTCTTTTACTGTTGCTCCCACGCATAAGACATCCGTTTCGTTTCACTTTCTTGATCATAGGGCAGTAGGTAAGACTCCTAGGATGGAGGATCAGCCACTCGCAAGACCTCTACCTACAATAACACATAATAAACACAAACATATTCATGTCTTGAGTTGGATTAGAACCCACGATCCCAGTGTCCGAGCGAGCGAAGACAGTTCATGCCTCAGACCGCGCGGCCACTTTGGTCGGAGGTCGTTCACATTAACAGTGTGGAATAAATGGACAGAAATCAAGAAGGAGTCAACATTTTTAGCTTCAGGTGACAGCCTCCTCCTACATTCGTAACGGCAAATATTTACAACCGTACAAAACATCAGGTAACATTTTAATTTGTAGAAAAAATCTAGACTATCAACACGGATTTTCCTTCAAATACGCTGGGTGTTGAAGGCGTGGCGATTAGACGCAGAGGGACTTTACTGGGCCATGAAGTAACGATCTCTGTTGACAAATAGCCAGGTCTATCAATCCCGCTCCTGCGTAAACAGCTGAAGTTTCTTCAACTGGCCATTGTGAGCCCGATTTTGGAATCCATTTCGAGCGCGTCTGTCTCCTTATGGCAATGCGCACAATGGTAGCGGTACTTGGGGCTACTATGATCCTGGAGCTCCGATAACAATGAGATAATCCCATTACTTACAGACCGGCGGAATTGTAAATAGACTGGTACACAGGTAGGGGGGTGATTAACCAGGACGTATATCATCCATCCCTCGACAAATTGGCATCTCCCCTGGAGAGGGTGGGGGTGTGATATTGTTCGCTGCAGTACAAACTGGGCCAATAACACATGGGACACAATTCTGTGGATACGCAGATCAGATAAAAATAGAGCACCAACTCTAATGACTGACATTTATGTTATACTGCTACGTTGTTCGAACTCTTTGTCACGAAGGCTCGAATTGGGTTGAAAAGTTGCAAGGGTTTGAAAGGTTGAAGAAATATGCTGGCCTATATGAAGCCATTATGAATGAATATAATTATATTATATTAACGAAGAGAAGCACGTGCCCTTTTATAACTTTATATGTTTGGATTTGCACTGTGTGTACCTTGTTTATTATATGTATTTTGTTTTGTATCGTTCCCTTATGTTATACACTTTCCTTGTCTGTATCAGTGCAAGTTCTACTGCCACCGGGTGAACACCAATTGCAGTAATAATAATAATAATAATAATAATAATAATAATAATAATATGCCCGGACCCTCGGGAAAGAAGGGTCCGGTACCCACTGCGCGGGAGGCTGGGTCGCCAGGTCTAGGTGCTCTGGAGATGGGAATTCCGAATTCTGGGATATAATGCTATGCAGTCCGGTGAAAGTCAAACAACTTTTCGGAGGAAAATATCGCTTCTATCTTCGTAACCTGTTTCATACGCGTTTCTACTATCGCTTGCAATTCAACCATGAAAATGGAAGTAATATGTTCCTCCGAAATGTCTGCTGCCTTTCACCGAGGTACAGAGCGTTTATGTGCTAGAATACAGTACTCTATAATGATGAAATCGTTACGACTGCCAGAGGCAGGATGAATAGAACTTGGGTTTCGCCGGCAGGGAAACACACGCAGCGAAATGTCACGACTTAAGACTGTGTTTATACCCAGGTACAGAGAGGGGTGACAGTGGGCTGATATTCTAATAAGCCAAGACCACAAACACAAGTGGTGACGGCGGTAACGCGTGTGAGGTAAAATAAAACCCTCTTCCCTTTGCCCGAGAAAAATAAAAAGTAAAAAAGTAACGGTAAAATTATCATATGATTGTTAGACGTCGAAGCTCCCACATTTTCTAGACAATCGGTTCACAGATGGCGGTGAGGTTGTCAGCCATACGAGCCGCCCGCTTTTTACCTCCAACAAGATTCCTGGTACTTATTTCTGTTAGAAGCTGAGTCGACCTCAGATACATAGTGCGGCTGGAAGGATTAGGTCAGTTGAAAAATTGAATGATCTCGTCAGGAATTGAACCCGCGACCTTCCGGCTTGTAGCATAGTGCCTCAACTAACTACACTACCGCGTGCCCCCGCCCCGAGAAATATATATATTTATTTATTATTTTTGGGATTACATTGATTCTAGGAAAAGCCATACTTGAAAATATAAAAATTAACAAAAACTATATGTAAACAACAACGTCGTTACGTCTGACTTCCTTTCGCTAGGCTCACTTCTCTCATCCCTTGCATATACATAATCTGATTACGAGTGTCTGCTTTCCTTGCGCAAAATGATCACGAATCAGACATTTCAATCGGTTCCACTTTGTACATCGCTAATGACGCATTTAAAGATCTTGACTTCGTTCTGGTCGGAACTGCCATTTCTAAAACGGGCGTGTGTGTCACGCGTTGCTGCAAACCATTAGACACTGTTTAATGGCAGCTGAACAACAATAGAAGTGTCCACGTCAGTGACACAGCAGCAGAATGCTGGAACTGTGGACAGTTGTGTGGTCAGGCTAACCGATTCTCTGACTTGACTACAATAAAACAACAAATATCACACTAGCGTCAGTCTTCGAAGTCTTCTGGGGGGGCTCCACGGCATTAAACATGAATACAAAGACAATAATGTCCCTAGAAAGACGTTACCCCTTGAACACAGTTTATTATTCTTAGATGTGCTTAGAAAACTTACGGGTCTCTTTGTCAATTATAGCATCCAGACATAAATGTTAATTCAACGGAGCCTGTTATCAGCATTTAACTCACCTCAAATACCAGACTGTCTGTAATATGTTATGTTCTTGCCACAGTTGCGTAGGAACACATAAAGAAATCCATATAATTGTAAAATATTATTTCTCCACATCAAATTAAATGCTTATTATCATACTTTGGTCTACAATGTACAAAATTAAAGTCTGAACAGAACTGCATATTATTCAAATTCCTGGTCAGTGGGACAAGTCTTCTTCCACCTCAGACATTTGCACGCCCTTAACTTTTATGTTTCTGGTCCTTTCCTTCTTCTGTTGCTGTTGGTCCCACTTGGAGCATAGGGCATCCGTGAAACACTTCGTTTCATTTCACTTTCTTAATCTAAGACAATAATTAGGACTCATTCGACGGGACACAAAGGGGTATCCATGACTTGAGAGGGATTCAAACCCAAGATCCCAGTGTTCGAGCTCGCGAGGACATTTCATGCCTTAGACAGCGCGGCCACTGTGATAGGCGCCACTGGTCTTCACCAAAATCAGTCCTTGGTTTCAATAGTTATGGAGAAACGAACTCCCATACAGGATACTGGCTCTATTAGCATACATTTCACTTATATAACACAATTAAGCAGCTTAAAACACTTAGAGATTAAATATTATAATACATATCTTGTTTCGAATCCCCTCCACACACGAGTACACCTCTCTGCTTGGGAAAACGTGGCTAGATTCAGGTTACTCTCGAGGCAGGCGCTGACTCTTTATCCCGTAAGTGACGTCATATCGCATTTAAGGGGTAAGTCCATTACGTTTACAACTCCGCTGGGAAGAGCCATTTTTATTCCACACCCTTCAACCCTATCCCTTTGTACACACAGAGCATGCTGTGTAATAAATTGCGGTCAGTGTTGCTTGTCATCAGTCAAAAGAATGTCAACGTATTCATAAGATATTGCGGATTTGTCACTTAAGAGGGAGTTGAGAGGGAGAAAACTGTTGGAGTAAATGGCGGGGGTTGCTTATGGGTTAACGATGTCACAGAGAAAAGACCAGGGGTTGAGGGTGAAAGAGAGTGTAATAATTTACCTCTGTGTCAGATCTGTGTAGACGGGCGGCTATAGAAGCAGATCGAGGGCGCTGCTTTCAACTAAGTGGGACACATTCCGAGGTACTATCTTTTCGAATAATATTAACCTATATTACATATTCTATTACATTTTATACAGCCCTAAAAACGCTTTCGAATTCATGTATATTTATTTACCTCTAGCACAATGAATCTTCAGGTCTGAAAGCATAGAATCAAATTAAGTGTTAATGGCAAGAACATGCAGAAAGAAATTACAGGCCTATCCATTTAGTATTATGAATTGCTTGTGCAAAGAATTGTTAATAATCGTAGGTTTCTTTCTCAATTGTTACAAGCCTACAAACTGTACTAAGAATATCATAAGTAGAAATTCATACTCCAATTGGATTACACGTATTTTCCAAACGTGTTCTGCTCGATTTTGTAAAAGTTGTCGGCTTTAAATTTCATTTATTGCAGATATAAATTATACTTGATAAGCACATGGGAACATAATGAAGAGCGTCATAACTTGTACTCTTCCCCAAGTATAATTAGAATGATCAAGTCAAGGAGGATGAGGTGGGCAGGGCATGTAGGACGAATGGGGGAGACGAGGAATGCGTATAGGATATTGGTGGGAAAGCCAGAACGAAAGAGACCACTGGGAAGACCAAGGCATAGGTGAGTGGACAATATTAAAACGGATCTTAAAGAGATAGGATGGGATGGTATTGATTGGACTGATCTGGCTCAGGATTAGGAAGAGTGGAGGGCTCTTGTGAACACGGTAATGAACCTTCGGTTTCCATAAAATGCCGGGAAATTCTTGAGTAGCTGCAGAATTAGCGGCTCCTCCAGAAGGGCTCAGCTCCATGAGTAAGTAAGTAAGTAAGTAAATAAGCACATGGGAACATGGTAAGAAGAATCTTTAATTAACTGGAAAGTTATAGGCATATATTTAAAATATGGAGAATTTAAAAACGAACGTAGTGATGGAACTGTATGCAGAGAGTTTCAAGTTACGTTCCGCCCCGCCTTTTAAAATGATTAATTTATTGAAAAATATTACAAATGAAATTCTTAGACTTTAATTACACTGCATTGGGCCAGTATGCTGTACGATTTTGGAAGATAATTTGTTTCTGAAAAAAATGCTGAGGTTACAATTTAGCTTCCTGTGGGCCTGACATAGCGATTGTATCGGAATAATACCAACATTACAGATTCTAAAAGAATCGGACGACGGTGTATTGCACAACATTATTGGGTTTCTGGGTTTCGACCACCGTCTAGAACTGGGATTTTTAAAGATGATGAAAATACCGAGAGCTAAGAATGCTACAGGATACTAAGAAATCAATCAAAATAAAGTCCGCAAGATAACTTTCAGTGCAAACCAAGAAATCAACCAAGAGATATGGCACGAAGAGAGATTTATAAATTAAGAACTGGAAGGAATATGAAAATACGCGACCCTAGCAAGTTTTAGCCCTAAGACAGCAGCAGCAAGCCTATGTACAATCTGATCTAACATGAACAATTCTGCCTTTAGCCCACAGAATGCAATTTATGTGTTTTCCATGATTCTCATAATAAACCACGCTGGTTTTACTAAACAGCATTAACGGGCTGGTCGTCGTAACGGAGAGGCGTTGCCTTTTTTTGTAATGTAGGAAATATATTTCTGGGTAGATTAATACGAATTTTAGGCTGGATGCACAAAGGTAAAGTTAAGAATAATAACGCCCTTGTGCTTAAATAACTAAGAAACTCGTGATGAAAACGTATGAAGAACGGTTGTATAGCTCCACTATTCTTGAACTCGAATTTAGATAGAGGAGAGTGGTCAGCTTCATGCTCCGGCCGCTTTACTTTTGGGTATACAGTCCCGGTACCCATGGAATCGGTCCCAGAGGCGATCTGTGGTTATATAGAAGAGAAAAATCACCCATCGTTGCCGGGAATCGAATCCGGAATCCTCAGCCTCTACTTCATAGCCTGTCACAATACTGACTGACTTATCCTGGAAGCACTAAAGTAAAACACGAGGAACTTCCCGGCGCTACCAGATTTTCTGAAAAGTAGTGGATCTTGAACGGGGTCCACTTAGCCACGTGAGGATAATTGAGTTACTTGAATGGAAAAGTAGCGGCTCCGGTCTAGAAAACCGAAATTGACGACCGTGGGGATTCGTTGCGCTGACCACGTGATACCCTCTATCCGCAAAAGTTTGCACTAACTTCGCCGAAAAGTGGCGGTAGCTCGGTCGGTATAATTCGCTTGCGGACTACAGGCGACGGACTTTATTTTTTTTGTTTGCCTTTGCTTCCCAAATGCTAGATACATACGTTACCGATGTGCTAACTCACCAGGCTTCTGTTCGTATGGTAGCTACGCAGTTTAAGTACATGGTGTGACGCGGACAAAGAACAACTTTACAAACAGCTCATAACTGTAGATACTAGTATCGGTGTATAGGTGACCGTCCCTATACTTGTTCTCGCTGTGTAGTAGCGGTCATGTTTACATGGCGGTCACAGAAAGGAAGGAAACTGAATGCACCCTCAGCGTGCTGAGGAGGCAGGCTCGTTAGGAGGCCGTACAGTATCAGGTTAGAGGGGGCTGTGGTCCAATGTTACATCTTCCTACACGGCGTCAGACTACGGTTTTCAACCCCAGCTGTTAATCGCCATTAAAAAGCAGGCCCGCACATAAAGCAGTTTTTGAGTTACACCTGTTCCTTTGTCTAAGCAATGCTTTGTGAAGGAGTATAGGGGAGGAGACAGACTCAACACGGGATTAATCTTAGCAATCGAAATATGTGAGTGGTCAGCTTTATGCCCAGGGAAGTTGTGCTATTATGCCACTGGCTTATATCGTAGTAATTAGCTACTGACTTGAAGTTATAGTGACGTTAAATACTAAGAACAGGGTTCTGAACACTGAAGATGGAAGTAGTATGTTTCTCCGATGTTAGTAACCACCTAACCAAATCACATCATATCCGAATACATCACGGTCATAAGTTGATAAAATTCTTTATATTTGACAAATATCAGAAGCGTAATGGAATTAAAGCCGTTCACGGTAGTCATGTGATCTAAGGCATGCATTGCCTTCGCTAGCTCAGAAGCCGGGATCGTGGGTTCGAATCCCGCTCAGGGCATGGTTTTCTGTAGAAAACCCTTGCGACGAGTTGATCACCCGCCCAAGGAGCCCTACCGAATGTCTATGATCTAGTAAACCGAAGTGAAACGGAGAGTTTCATAGAGGTAGGCCAAGGCCCAAATTGGAGCTGTAGCGCCAAAGGAAAAAAAAATTAAATTTAACGAATCAGTGCATCATCTATTTAAAAATATTTTCAAACGCCTGCAGTTCAATTAGCAAAAAGTTCTACTGTATCAGATTTTAACTGATTCCGGTTTTACAAAATGTTTAATGTCGGGGTGGGAAGCTACAAAACAATAATTTTATCACTTACGTTGTATGGTTTTAAAAAGTGGTCTCTTACTTTAAGGGACAACATGAAGTAGTGTCCCTGAAAACAAAATACCCAGTAAAGTGTTTCAGTTAAATGAAGATGCAGTTTAGGATGTGGTAACATATAACGTGATTTACATAGGCCAACAAATATTATGAAGGCAATTAAATTATTTAAGACGGACTCTTCGCGTGGCTCGGACGGGGGACACAACGAATGGGTACAGAAGTTTGGAGGGGAATCTCGGAAGATGAGAAATGGAGATAGGAGAATATTGGGAAGATAATTTATATGAACCATGAGGGTTGCGCCATAGCTCTAGCGGTTAGTCGCTGGCTTCCCGGGTTCGATCCCGGGTCTGGTCAAGTAAGATTTATGGTGGACAAAGTGGCGCTGGGGCGGATTTTCTCCCAGTACTTCGGTTTCCCCTACCAAACTTCATTCCATCAAATTCTGCATCATCAAAATCACCCGGGACAGGCTACAATAGGCCTATCAGTGGCCACCGTGCCGAGTGGACCCAGTTGGACTCCACCCCCCACTAAGCGAATTAAAAAAAATTATATGAACCATAAGCGGACGAACTTAGTATAAGATTGTGTCGAATTGTGGGTTTTGGTAATAAATGTATTGAACTTTCGTACTACTGGTGCAAGCCTATGCAGGTTCCTAGCTGATCTCTCCTCATTTACGTTTGGTGAAGGATACAAATTAATAATATGAAGGTCCTTATTATATACCGTATTTACGCATGTATAGGCCGCACATTTTTTGCCAAAAATTGAAGAGGAAAACTGGGGTGCGCCTTATATTCGAAATATTCGAAATCACACTTCATTTAAAAAAAAAATAACGTTGCCAAATTTCGGAATAATTTCTACTCCTGAAATAATATTCCAAGAAAATTATTTTTTCTATAATTTCTGTCTGAAAATTGTGCTGCGGCCTATACATGCGTAAATACGGTATTTTTATCACCCTTCTGTTATGGACTGTTCCTTCTTTCTTAGGTCAAGCAAGAATACATAAATATAGCCTACACATACATACACAGACACACAGACACAGACTTGTATCTTCATACAAATAATTCGTAAGAACAGACTGCAAAAACTTGAGAGAAGCAACGCGTCCAGAGCTTGTTACGCAGTTACCTTGGAAATGCAGACAGAAAACTATGGCCGAGAAGCGTCACTTCCAGATTGCAGGGCTTTGTAGCTGAAGGTTGAGAGGAGGTGGCACTCTCTAAAGTCAGGAGGGACATTCAACCGCAGCCAAACTGGGACCACAGAAGGATGGACGCCCTCATTTCGCGTGACAGTTTTATTGAACTCGATCCAGTATCTCCAGTTTGTAGAAGTGGGCAAGAGAACCGCTCGCGCTGCTCATTCTAGCGGCCGGTGTCCCCAACATGACACCCGAAAGCAGTGGTCTTGCTCTGCAATGGAAATGTAACACTGGTCGTTAATGGGAAACACCCACGCCACCACAAACCTATCTACAATCTGACAAACAAAAGATGCAGTCATATATGTACTTACACAACAATACGGAAGTAACTAAGAAATGACGCAATAGAAACATAGGTTAATCCAGTGTTTTGTAAAAAAGGACATAGCTGATAAACACATAAATGTATGACTGAACGGTTGGACAACAGACATATGAATTAATTAATGAATGGGAGGATGAATGAATGAATAAATAAATACATAAAAGAATGAAGATAAATTTAAATTCTTCTAGGTTTCTGTAAAATGTCACATTACCATCATCATCATCATGGACGACGGGGGGGAAAAAAATGAGCCGCAGCCTTCGTTAGAAGATTCTGCCAGGTCTGAAGACCATATCCGGTTTTCACTTCTTTGGATTTTAGATAAATAATTTTTTACATAGCAAGCTTGTCAGCTTTGCGTCCAACCAAAAACCTGGAGGAACAACTTTTTATGTCTAAGTTCCCCAATGAAAGGGTGACCCGGTTGTAACCCCAGGCACCGTTCCATTTTCGTCGCCTGCTATGACTCGCACTCAGGGCTACGATGGAGGTATTCTAACCCGCCTCCATACGGGACTCTGTAAAAAATGATTGTGATACGTTCAGGACACCCTGGATCGCTCAGTCCGTATAACAAAGGACTAGGAGATGAACGGCCGCGGTTTGATTCCCTTACGGACAAGAAATTATTCTCTTCTCCCCAACATCAAAACTGGATTTGGGGCTCACCCCAAGACTAAATTAGTATATCAGTGTAAGTTACAAGTTTCATTTCTACATAACAGAATGAGAAATTTTCACGTCACCTTTTAAACCTTTGAAGTGTGAAGAACAGATTGAAGGCAGTAGAGAACGTGACGACAACGGTGAGAGACGTTATAATTGCGACGCTGGGAGGGGGTACAGTGGGGTAGAAATTTAATGTTAGAACTGCTGCATGGGAAACATGCACTGCAATGTGAAATATAGGTACGTATTCAGCATTTGCTCTATAGCCGTAGAAAACCATGAGAATCTTAGGACTACCGACTGGTCGCAAGATCTTCCGAATGCATAACGATACAGTATAATAGTCTTCTCAATTTTTTTTATTGTTACTTAAAGAGCAATCAGAATTATCATATTCTATAAGCTACTGTCGTGACATTGGGCTACTGAGCCCGCCTATGGCAGGATGAGGGTCCTTCCACCGAAGGAGCCTCCGTTATTCACTTGAGGTCAATTGGAAGACGTCTGTGTCTTCTTAATAAAACAAACTCCGTGGCTCGAGTCCGCAAGCGAACTATACCGACCGAGCGACCGCCGCTTGTCGGCGAAGTTAGTGCCAACTCTTTGGTCTAGTGATCAGAGTTCCTGCCTACAGATCCAGAGGTCCGGGTTCGATTCCCGGCGCTACCAGATTTTCTGAGAAGTAGTGGGTTTGGAACGGGGTCCACTCAGCCTCGTGAGGATAATTGAGGAGAAATAACGGCTCCGGTCTAGAAAACCCAAATTAACGGCCGTAGGGATTTGTTGCGCTGACCACGCGACGCCCTCTATCCGCTAAAGTTCCCACAGTCTTCTAAATAGTATTTAAAAGATGCGACTCCTACCTCACGGATAACATACTGTGTTTCTACTGAAAACATGTCTGTTTATGCTGCTTTTCTGCTGTCTATCTTTTTTCTCAAGAAAACAATAAAACCCATAAATAACTCTCTGCCCAAAATACTACCAATGTCTTTAAGGTTAAAAGCAGGCGGTACACATAGGAAGCACTAACCATTTCGGTGCTACGAACAAGCTGCCTTGAGACACTGGCCTTGTTTACTTGGATTGTCTACAAAGGTCTGTAATGTCTTTACTCTGCCAGAAGAAGGAAAACTCCTCTGCTGTTTGTTACTGCTCGACTTGTTTGTGAATCAGGCTTACAACTCGCTACGGTAGGACAGTGCTTCAGCTTGAAATAAAACCAGAAGTAAGAGGATGGAACTCTAAAAGAATATCGCCCAGTCTTCTAGAAATTATTCAATGCTTGTAGCTTTGAGAGAGATAATAACAACAGGCTCATCTTGCGAATTATCAGGTAGCCTATTAAGCTTGGGTAACGTCTCCTCAGCGTTCAATTTACGATGCCACTGTGTTCCTTTGCTAATTATTCTGCTAATCCTTCGAGGAAAGCAAGTAAATACAATTTAATGCGGTACTAAAATAATAAACACACAGGCTCACAAGATACATAGGCTTTGAGCGATTCACTGTTTCTATCACCACATCAGACACTATTATCTAAATTCACGTAAAATAAACATGCTAAACCAAACCGCTCATTTTCCAATCTCTGTCTCCAGAATAATTAACTCGCTTTTGAGTCAGATGTATGATAATGTGCAGTGAGGCAAGGAACCGCTACGGATTTAATAAATATTTAATTCTGGTAGGAGTTGGGGTAGCGCAGTCGATATAGCGACTGGCTACGGGATGGAAGACCGAGGGGACAGAGTTCAAGTCCCGGTGGGGATAAGAATTTTCATTTCTCCGCGTCGTCCAGACCGGCTCTGAGGTCCACCCAACCTCCTATCCAATGGATACTGGGGGCTCTTCCCCGGGGGTAAAGCGCCCAGGGCGTGAAAGTGACCACTCATCTCCAACTATAGCCGAGGTCAACAAAATATGATCTATACATACACTCCCCCATACGCCTTCATGGCTTGGTTAAGCACGGGGGCGTCACCTTTAACTTTATTTTGGCAACCACACAGGCTGATAAGAACATTAATCCAGGCGCTCAGAAACGTAATAATTATACTGGCACCTAAATTTGTCGTGTGGTAGCTAACACAATTGTTTTGGTTTCTCGAACACCTCGCAATTTCGAATCTCTGCTAAGAAAGAATGTTCCTACTCCTGTGCAAGTTCCCGAAAGTTAATGATGGGAAAGTACACGGTGATTCACTCCGAAAATGCTCCGAATCAGTAACTGTAAACCACGAAATAATTTGCCGATTCAACGAAATTTGGCGAGCTCGACGATGTGGAGATAACTGTGTTACCGAAGATACTGAAATTTGTTTCGCCCCACTTCGAGATACAGGCCGACACGGCGCTTCGCATTCGTGCGCATCATTCCACCGCGCAACACGGGGAATCACAGACTGAAGCAAATGGCGCGAACCGGCAGGCAGACACCAAGTCAGCGTTGAGAAGTTTTGTTGCCATCCGTGAATTACTGCGTCATTTATAATTATTAATGTTTCTGCTCCTCCGAGTGAATCACCCTGCATTTTAAAACAGGCAGGCCGAACAATCGCTTCATTTCTCACACTTCCCAACTCTAAGTGATTATTTCTCACTTGATGGTATTTGACAAAGCTGGCAGCTGACATAACGTGTCTAAACAACTGAAGAGAACTAGACATGGATGGGAGAATATTATCAGGCTGGGTCTTATGAAAATATGTTGTGAAACTGCACAATGAATTCAGCTAGCTCAGTGGTTCTCGACCTTTGTGGGACCGCGGCCCGGTAAATTCTTATTTTTATAAGCCGAGGGTCCGATACCGGGCCGCAGCCCAGCGGTTGAAAAACACTGAGCTAGCTCATAAAGTGGGGAACTGTAACGTACACGTTAATGAGCCTTCCTTTTCCATAAAAAAGGGAAAATTCTTGACTAGCCGTGGATTTTTCAACATCCCACGAAAGGCTTTACTCCACGGAATTGAATTCATAATTTATTTATCAATGGTTCTACGGCCCTTTGTTGGGCCCTGGTCTCTTCTTCAGTTTCGTAATCTTTCTTACACAGACGGTAGGACTCCCTAGACGAGTGATTAGCCCGTTGCAAGGCCGCTACCTACACACAGGACAACACAAACACAGAATAAAAGTACACAGACATCCACGCCTTGATTGGGATTCGAACCCACGATCCCAGCTTTCAAGCAAGAGAAGACCGCACGGCCACTGTGATCGGCTTGCTCCATGCAATTAGTTACATCTGTTGGCCTTAAACGTTTCATCACATTCTTCCATTAAGCCAAGAACTGATCCAATGACCCTACACATATTTGGCACTCTCTGCACGGAAATGTTGTATTTGGTGCTTAGTGTGCCGTAGGTACAAATTAGCCAATGCGGAAGGAATTCATTTGCAGTCAAAAATCATAACTCAGCAGCTGGTCTCACTTCCGGCGAGTCCGTGAGTTGAATTTGTATGCGAATACAAATGCCATTCCTTCCATTTGAAAAGACGCCAGTCATGTTGGCAGTGATCTTTAGCAGCTGGATTGATTACAGCTTTAACGTTACTCTGTGATTGATTGTAGGGCAGAGTACACGCGGTCGCCCTTTTCAATCAATTACTTACCATGAGTTTGCAGGAAACACTGTAGTTTCACGCACACGTTGTAAGCCGGTAATGGAATTTGAAGTTCTATTTCATTTTATGCCTCAGAATTGATTTAGGAATTGAACTCTGATTTTAGGCACATATATCCCATGTATAGGATTTTAGGATAATTATAAAATATCCATGTAACAATTGTTTATGCCCGTTTAATAATTTCTGAATAAATTTAAGGATTTTAGTTTATGTCGGCCGATCACAGTGGCCGCGCGGGATAAAGCATGAACCACCTTCGTCCGCTCGAAGACTGGGATCGTGGATTCGAATCCCACTCGAGGCATGGATGTCTATGTGCCTTTATTCTATGTCTGCAGAGACCTTAAGACGGTCTGCTTCCCCGTCCAATAAGTCCTACCGTGTATAGATTAAGTAACTGAAAAAGCGGTCAAGGTCCACAAGGGCTGTCAAGCCATAGATATATAGACATTGTATGTCGGTATGAAGGTCATGCAATAGATGTCACCTAAATATTTTATTCCATTATCGAGGTCCGGGACCGAATGTCAGTCCCGATGTTATATGGTCCAATTTTCCTTCCATTAATGACCCTCCTCTG